CCCACCTATGAGAGAATTATATAGTTCCTAGCTTTTCCTGACTGACTTATTTTGCTCAGCATAATATTCTCAGGTCCAATCATGTTGTAACAAACAGCAGTATTTCATCTGCCCCCATGGTTGAGGACTATACCATGTTCATTTGAAATCTATTTAATTTTATTTACCAATGTCACCTTAATTCATTTAATTTAAAATAGCATAGATCCTCCTTTTTTAAAATGTGCATGGTATTCCATTGTGTAAATGCACCACAACTTTTGTATCTTCTTATCTATTGATGGGCACTTGGGCTTTTTCCAGATATTAGCTATTGTAAACAACACTGCTATGAGCACAGGGATGCTTTTTTTCTTACTGGTGGTAGACAGGGCTTCTTAGGATATATCCCTAGGAGTGAGACCACTGGGTCAAATGGAAGTTCCAGTTTTTGTTTTTCATGGTGAGTGAACTAAGCCAGTCAGAGAAATACAATTATTTATTGACCTCATTCATATGTCGAATCTAATGAACAAAATAAGCTGATGAACAAAATAGATCCAGAGATAGAACCATGGAACAGACTGATGAGTCTCAGAGATCAGAAAGAGATGAATCAAAGACCTTAAGTGCAAAAGCCATGGACACAGATTATAATGCAGTAAAGGCCTGAGGGGCAGGCATGGGTGCATGTTGGATGGGGTCCATGGGGAAAAGAAGGGACCAACTGTAATATTACTAACAATAAAAGATAAGTTAAAAAAAAAAAAGCCATGCAGGCCAGGTGACACATTATATTTATTTGCTCTTCAGACCTCCAAGAGAACCCAATAGTACCAAGTTAATTCACTGTAATGTTGGGACATTGTGCCAGATTCTGCAGGAGATGGACACACTCCATCATTCAGTAGACAACACAGCCAGCACCTATTTTCCTCTGGTTATCCACCCCTCAAGTCCACACTGTCTTTATTTTTTTTTTATTTTTTTTTAATTTTTTTATTTTTTTATTTATTTATTTTTTAAATATATTTTATTGCTTTTGTATAGAGAGGAAGGGAGAGAGATAGTTAGAAACATCGATGATGAGAGAGTCATCGATCAGCTGCCTCTTGCACACCCCCCACTGGGGATACGCCCGCAACCAAGGTACATGCCCTTGACCGGAATCGAACCCGGGACCTTTCAGTCCCCAAGCCGACGCTCTATCCATTGAGCCAAACCGGTTTCGGCCCACACTGTCTTTAGACAACATGAGTGTCCTCGGTGTTTGTCATGATGCTCAGGTGTGGGGGGGAGGTTCTCATCTGAGTCTGGGGAAGGACCTCTTGTCGCTGTAGCAGGTCTCTGCCAACACCACCACCAGGGCCAAGAGAACCAGGGCAGCTAGATAAAGCCGGACTTGGTTCACTTGGGACACACTCCCACCAGTAGGTCCTGAGAGAGAAAAAAACAGAGGTCACAGATTTGGAGCCAAAGGCCCTCGCAGGAAGATGCCCTTAACCTGAGCTCCTGTCTCCAGTCTGATGGAACTAGGAGATCAGTGCACAGCCACCATCTGCATAAGCAATATGTGCCTTCTTTCCTCTTGTCATTATGAGCCCTGTGGTGATTTCCAAAAGGAATTCTGGGTCATGAAAGGCAGGGATGGGGACTGGGTGGGGAGCTTTCAGTCTTCTCCCTCAGAGCTCCGCTGGGTCCTTCTTTGGGATGCCCCTCTGCAAACTTTAGACTCAGCAGATGGAGGATGGCCTCCCTGGTCCTCTGTGGGCACTAAAGCTTCTCTCTCCCTAATCCCCTTTGCACCTAATCTTCCTTCACCTTTCCTGCTCCTTCTGCAAAGGCTACCAGTTGGTGCTCTTCATGCAGACAGCTCGCCTGTGTCCTTCCCTTTCCTCTCCATCTCCTTTTTCCTCTCCTACTTCCTTCACCTTACCATTAGCTTTCGAACTGCCAGGTTTAAAGGGCCCATGCTTTACCTCCATGACGTGTTTCCTAAGACCCTTCTTCTAGGATTTACTTATTCTACCTCTGTAATGTATCCAGGAAATGGTTTAATTACAGTAAAAAAGAAAGAAAGACTACCGTTACTCAACAAGGATATGGCTGGGGTCTGTGGGATTGGGATTGTCGGCAGCTTCTGCAAATGGGGAGGAAATGGGGTTGTTCCTTTATCTGTGCTCAGGATCTCTCTCCTCAGACTCACAACGACCTGCATGCTCTGCCAGGCCCTGGGCATGTGTCAGAGGCCT